TTCTCCTATGTTGTGCCATACATTTATGAAGTGGTTGTTTTGTTGGCCAAAGAAGCCGTCTATGTCAAAATTGAACATACCTCTCTCAACAGAGGGGGAGGGATACAACATCATCTATCTCCAGTTTACAATACAGTCCTTTCATCAGTTCCAAGAAGTCTCCACACCCATTTGCACTACTAAGGTGAGATGAACCTCCAAGTAGCCTCAACAACTCTCTAAAAGAATGCAAATGACCAGCTGTCTGCAAGGAATATAAATTCTTCCATTCCCCACCATCCAGTCAGAGCTGAAGAAGCTTCTTGGATGAGAAGTGAAGTGTCTTCAAAGAAAAGTCCAGTTGCCTCTTAAAAAGCAGCTTGGGGACAACCATGACCTAGATGACTTCTTAGACAATAATAGTAATACAGCTTCATCTGTATTTACTACAAAGATGGTTTTTTTTAACTGTATTGTTTTCTTCACTATTTTTTATCTTTTTCTTTCTTTCACTTTTCATTATATTTCATGTTTATTTTCTATCTATAAATTTTCAATAAAATTTATATTTAAAAAAGGAGGCAGTCTCAACTGAAAATAATTCAACTGAGTTGGTTTTCTGCAAGCTGCTTAAGACCTGGCTTTTCCAGCAGGCCTGGGGTTTATAAAATCTGACCCCTGGATGAATGTTATTGTATTGTTTGTTTGTTAAGTTATGTTGTGTTTTTATTGTAAACCACCCGGAGTCCTGCGGGAGTGGGGCGGTCTATAAATTTTAATAAATAAATAAATTCAGCAGTGAATTAAATCCTGAATTAAATACAATTAAATAAAAATATAAAATACATTTTCTATCAGGCCCGTATGATTACCACTTTTTTGTATTATTACTATAGTGGTTCCCAAGTCCTGAAATCAGTTATCAAATTTGTTAATACTGACCTTGGAAACTGATCCTTTTAAATTAACTTTCTTAAAGCCCTTTATTTAGGAAAGCCTGCAATTAAGGCTTAACTATTGGCTTTTGTAATTAATTTTTGTAATGAACAGGTGGTTTTAATATTATATCTTTGTCTTTTATCACATCAAAGTGATCAGAGTTATTCTCCTTTATTTGCATTTCTTCATTTCTTTTCTTCTTAAATTGTAATCTCACCAATAGTTGGAAACTGCTCTCTCTCTCTCTCTGTCTCTGTCTCTGTCTCTCTTTCTCTCTCTCTCACACACACACACATACTCACTTACTGACTCACTCTGTCTCTCTCTCTCTCTCTCTCTCAAAGAGTAATTCACATATTTGAAATTTACATATTTTGGGGAAAAAAAGTGAGTAGGTGATAAGAAGTCAAATGATTCTAGGCTAGAAGAAACATATTGACTCCTAAGATACTGAAATTGCTCACAGAAGTTGGGTTCCAAAGAATCTATTTGAGGGGGATGCTTAGTTGCAATGTCAAAATACAATGGAATACATATCTACAGGAAGCAATACATTTAAATGATGAATGAGCAGGGTTAAGACAATATGACTAACTTGACTTTCTGAAAGGAATGTGAAACACTTCAAATGCCTCTTCACTAGGGGTTTGTGTTTTCAAAACTCAAGTTCAAGGAAAGGATTAAGAAAGACTGCCACATTTCAAATGCTAGTCTCATTTGCTATTTATAAGGAGGGGTGGGGAGGCAAAGCTCTCTGGAACTGTCTGTCATATGCAGCTTGTCCTGCTTGTCCTCATAGAACTTTCTCCACTCAATGATCTTGCTGTGAATTTGGAATTTACAGTAGTGGCCAAAATTGTGGAAACCTTTTGGGAAAAGTGTATTTTTGAGGTTTAATGGCACCTCAATAACACCCCCTTTTTGGAGTAGTATCATAAAATTATATATCAATGGAAGATAATTTAATTAAGAATATAATGTAACATAGTTTGTTCAATTATCTTTACTGTATTCTATGAAAAGATATAGCCAAATAACCAGAAAAAGGAAGCACAACTTGCTTAGGTTGATATCAGGTAGCTTTCCTTCATCTGATTGTAGCCAATGAGCTTGAGTGTTTAGAGAGCCAATCAGGTGTCATCTTGTTTTGGCAATGAGCCAATAAGATCACAGTAGGATTCAGCTATTGATGTCATGTATTAAAGCTGAGAGGAGGACATTTGTCGGTATGTTATGTGATCGCTATCAAGTTGGTTGGGTTTTTTTGTGTTCTTTCATTTAGTGAGCTTGTAAAATGTAATAAAATTAAAGTAATGATGCAAAGAGTTGACTAGTTACTCAGAAAGCGATGTAAAATAGTATTATTAAATGAACAAGGCTACAGTTATAAAGAAATTAGAAGAAAAATTGGTGGAAACTTAATCAAAGGTGGCATTTCTACTGTACATTTTTCCCAAAAGATTTCCACAATTTTGGCCACTACTGTAGCTCTTCCAGAAGAAAAAAGTTGGAAAGCAGAAGGGGTGCTCCTAATTCATGTCTGTTGGACATGGACATTTTACTCCTATCTAACTCCTTCATTCTTGGCCAGTTGCTAGCATCCTGGAGATAATTGGCTGGAGCCAATTATCAGTTTCTTTGTTAATTTTGTTATGAGACACTAGAGAATGAAAAATCACTTGGTCCAATTCTGATTGTTTCAAGGCTATTTGGACATGAGCTATGCATCATCACTGTCATCATTTCTGGCAGGTAAAATATCTAGAAAAAATATCACCATACTTTGTCAACAGAAAAAATCACCAGTCATTTAAAACATGATGGCTGTTCCAAGATGACTTCCCAGATCTTTCCTTTTCTGTCCTATTCAAGAGACAATTATTTAGTCGGTCAGGACAAATATAATGAGTCTCCTTCTAGTAATGAAATATTCTATTTTTAAGAGAGTAAAGGTGAAACTATTCTGGATCATGTGCATGTTTGTAATGTAAGACATGTGAAAGAGAACAGAGAGGAATTGTAAAGGCCAGCATAAATGGAAATGGAAAAGTGGACGGTTGCATAATGTCTGCCATCTGCAAATTACGATGCTACTTCTGCTGCCTTGTGCTTTACAAATTTCCCAAGAAATTTGGGTTGGGTGTAAGTGAGGGAATTGTTAGAATAGAAAGATTTCACTTCTGCTATTTAATATCCTCTCTCTTTGGCCATTTGTCAAAGCAATACAAAACAGGGCTTTAGGAGTTTTGCTGACAAATGTGGCAGTTTATCTTGAAGTTCTAGTAGCATTCAGCTTCCTCTTTAAGAAATCAGGAATGAGGAGTATAAGTGGTGGTAGCTGTCATTTAATGCCACAACAAGATTTTTTTTATTGTAGTGTAGTGTGTTTAAGTGGCCTCATTGTGTGTCAGCTTGTTAGCACAGACGCTCATAGTTTCTCAAGGGCCTGCTTGCTTCCAGTTTCTATCCACCATGTTGTGAAATGCAAACTATGCTATCTATACTGCCAATGCCCCATGTAAAAATAGCAAAAGTCAGAACAAAACCAAAACAGATGACTTTTAGAAATCCCAGTCTTAAGCGTTGTCATTTCTGAATGTTACTACTGAACTACATCAAAACTCATGCAAACAGACCTCCAACAGGAGATTTCCTTAGTCTCCTCTTCCCACTCTTCATGTATCTTTCAACCCTGCTGCAGAGGAAGCATCAGAAGAATCCAACCTTTTAAAAGCTTAATACAAGAAATTGAAAGAAAGGATTGGAAAGGACTAATCTAATCAACTTTTGGAAACATATATTTAAACCAATGTTTGTCAACTTTGGTAACTAAGATGTGTGGATCTCAACTCCCACAATTCTGAGAGCCACCAAGGTTGAGAAATACTGATCTAAATATTTCTTATCAGATATCTGGCACTGATCTGCATTTACAGAATAATTGGAATGCAGTGTAGATAAGCCCAACCCTTTAACCTATTCTTTAGAGAGAACAACTGCTTGAGCTAAAGGAGATGTTGGGCTCAGAGAGCTTTCCCACTGCCATTAGAAAACAATGCTGATATGGTTTGTATTCTGGGAATCTCATAATGTGGGTTTTGAGTCATGCATCCTGCTTAGTTTAGAATCATACACAATTTGGCAGGCTGAAGGATTGACTAGGTGAACTACAGATAATAGTCAAAGGAATCAGGTTTTTGAATAGAGTCAGCAGCATCCTGAATGAACCCAAGTCAGGGTCTGGATGTCAACAGCTAAATAAGAATGGTCAAAGAAGCAATGTCAAGAAAGGTTCAGGATGGAACTAGGAAAAGCTCCTTCTAACGCTCCAAGAATAACCAAAGCTTTGGGAGCAGCTCACTTCACTTTGGGTCTCTTCTCCACTTGCCCCAAACCACGTTGCAAGCAAATCTTGGTAAAATTCCTTTTGTCAGCTGCCATGTTTTAAGTTCTGTCTGGCTAGGCTGAAGTTAAAGTGTTTCCCACCTTAAGCCAATTGTATCCAACAGCTGCAAAGGATCAAAAATCAGTTATATTTTGCTATCCATCATATTGAAAAAGCAAAGTCAGATCATCAGCAATGGGTAGTATTAAAGCAATTCTTACTGACATGTTTCCTCTCCTTACTGACATGGCCTTATCCTGTCTGCCACCATTCTGTTGTTGTCTTCCTAAAAGTGGACATAGCAGCATGGTGCCGATGTGATCTGTCATAATTGTGCAATAGTGCTAAGCTAAACTATTCAGCTAGCAAGACTGTAAGTGCATTTACCTCTGTGGTCCTTACTGGCAGAGAAAAAGGCTGGAATAGCAACATAACAATGATAGGACCATCCCACCCTTGTCTTCTGAACAGAGGTAGGAGTATGAAGAAGCAAGGTATGCTATTTATATAAAAAAAGAAAAAGCAGGGAAGAGAAACCTTAAGGAAAATGTTGTTTGTGATTCAGCTTTGTGGTACTAATCAGGTTCTTTTGGTTTGTTTTGTTTTTAACTTTATTCAGCTCATGTTAGGGCAGGATGTGGTGTAAGAAGACAGGCAAAGGAAGATGGGCAGAATCTGGCAGCCAGACCCACCCCATGCTGACTGCAGCAATAGAACTGCTAGATGTTTTTCTCTCTGACTGGTGTCGTGCAGAACAGAAAGGACAGCAAAGCTGGAGGAATCGACCAGTTTCACAGGTGGGACACCTGAAAAATCAGAACAGCACCATTTGGTGTTGAGTCAAAGCAGTAGAAGCAGGATAGGAATAGGAAGTGGGGGCAACAAATTTCATGCAAGTGGTTTTCTTCCAGGATGGGTGGAGAGCACTTCAGCTCAGCTGGGAGGACATGCCTTCTAAATCATTCCAGTGGAGGTCTTGAACATTTCTGAAGCAACCTAATTTGGTTCAGTATTCAGTTATTTAATCCCCAGTCCACACCCATCTCTCCCTAAATCTAGCTTAGTGTTCAGAGGCAGGCTATTATATAGGAAAGCTAGTCATGTTGATTATTGTTGAAATCATTGAGGTATATTACTGTGAATTTGTGAATTGAACCTGTGCCAATAATTTCAGAAAGATTTATATATGGATACCTTATTCTGGATAAAGCCAGAGATTTCCAAAGGTCCCAGAGCAAAATCAAATCAAGTAAGCAGCCCAATTTTCAGTTTCATTTATTGCACATTAGTGTCCAGCCGCTGGTGCCAAATAACTAGCTTTCAAAATATTTTACAGGAATAATAAAAACTAACATTAAAGTGGTTAAACTGTTAAATGTCAGTTTTTGAAAGGATAACTAATGAAAGAGAAAGTTGTCCCTGGGTTAAAAGTCCCAAAGCATTAAAAGCCCCAGAAGTATTTTACACTGAAAGCTCCCTTTGATACCTTACCATTAAGAAACAGAAGTGTGTACATGGCCATGTCTTGAAAAACTCAGTGTGAGAAAACTTGAGCCCCAAAGCATCCACTCAGCCAATTCAAATATCTTGTAAAGTTCAGTTGGAACAGATAGCTCCCAGAAAAACAGCAAAATTAAGACAAGTTTAATGGAACTGAGATTGGCTAAGGGCTGAAACTAATACCCTTAGCTCTTTAGCTTTCCAAATCAAAATATGCCAATGGTTTTAAAAGTCCATAAAGGATATAAAGATGTGACATTGTTCCAATTCAACCTAAAATAGCCACTTAGCACATTCTACTTTTTAATAAACGAGCAGCCTTCCATACTAGTTATTGTTTGAGATTCAAGAAACATATTTTCATGCAAACAACAGTAGGCTGAGATATATCCTTGACTGAAAGTGCAGTAACCATAAAGAATTAACATTTTCTTTGAGAAATCTTTAACTTGCTCACTTGCTTCATAGCACCAAGTTCCCATTATTTTTTGAAGATGTCTTACCTCTCAGTCCAGCCCAATTTCATTTAAAATCCAGATCAGACCTGTAAAGAAATTCAGAGAAGCTATCCTATTCAGGACCTGTGGATGTTCCCTTGGTTCCTTCAGCTTCATTATGAAGTGTCATTCATAAAAAACAAGTGTGGTATAAATAATGTATTATATTCAGACATGGTCACCATCACCAATACTCTGCTAACATTCAAATAATACAATGGAAGAGTGTGCCATGTCTATCTACATTGTCAAATATTTAGAAAGTTCAAAGGGGCAAAAATACAAGCTGCTGCTTCATAAAGTGGAGGTTATGTTCCAAACAGCATAAATAACTTGTATCTTATTCTTTGGGTTACTATCTGGTTCCAGTACCAGTTTGTAGCATTTGTTTGATCTTCCATATTCTGCATACTCTGGGGGCAAGATGAAGTCCACTTCTTCCCATATGCCTCTACTTGGAAATTCAGGTCAATGTCAGGGACCTTGCTACGTATTCAATTTTTGGTCCATGCATATTTTCTGGCCTTGTCCTCCAAACAAAATTGTTTCATTTTTATTACTCAGTTTTGTCTTTCAGGACAATCCTAATGCATATATAAAGTAAACAATAAAGATTCTCAAAGCTCTATTTCTTATGACTTTATGGGCATGTCCATGTAGCTTTCTTAGCAATAATATTATGACTGATTTGCCTCTGTTTTCTTCCAGATGCTTATTGGCCTGCAAGTTGGAATTATTAAAGTCAACTAGTTTGGTGCAGTGGTTAAGGCATCAAACTAGAGGAGATCTTGAGACCATGAGTTCTAGTCCCACCTTAATCATAAAGCCAAGTGGGTGACCTTGGGCCAGTCATTCTCTCCCAGGAAGTGGACAAAGGCAAACCACTTCTGAAATTTTGCCAAGAAAACTGCAGGGACTTATCCAGGCAGTCATCAGGAGTCAATACTGACTAGAAGGCACCTACACACATGTGCACACACCCCAAATTTATAGCTTTCAGAGTTCCCCATTCATAACCTAGTACAGTCTGACCTTGCTTGTTTTTTTTTTTTTTAGATCAACAAATGCTGGCTAATTGCTGTTATCTACATTTAAGAGAATACATCTAATTAGACTGACTCTTTGAAAAATATTCCAGTATCTGACCAAGGGACAAGAGTTGGTTAGGGTCAGAGAATCTCAGCCAATCACTACCACAACAATCTACCCAAATTTCCTTTCACTGAGCCATTTCCAGTTCTTAAACAGAGAAGAAAATTGTGGTCAAAGTACAAATATTTTATTTATGGCACTGCAAAGTGTCTTTGGTTTTGAGGGTAGGATCCATCTGCTTTTCTTCCAAAAGGAAATGGGATTCATTTTCTGTTTGGGAGAAGATGTTGGTCAACATGAGGTTGACCTTACTGCTGGGTTTTTATTTTTATGATGTGAGGATTGGTGGCTACTTCCCAGTTCCCCTTCTGTATTTGTGCAAAACTTTGAAATCAAAACCAGCAAAATGAAGATGGATCTTATGTTTCTATAGTGCTACACTTAACATTAAGCACAGATTTAGCTCTTATCCTGCTTATTACTGTTTTCAGCTCTGTATTTTTTGTGATTTTTCAACAGTGCTGCATTTTTCTTGTCCTTTTTATTAGAATTCTGGTCTGCCCTGGCTAAATTAAAATATTTTTTATGAGAGAAAGGTGAAGTAAAATGAGCTTAATAATGAAACAGTAACAACAAAAACAACAGTTATCCTGTGTTGGTGGATTGTCAATGAGCAGAGAAAAAAAAAAAAGGGCCACCAAGATGTTTTGGGTATGAAGTAAGACAAAAGAATGGCTCTGACTGTAATCAGCAAGAGATTAGAGTACGCCTATGGCACTGGGCAGCTGAGGTCATATTCCCTCTCTGTTTTCTCCTTGAGGGTGTGGTGGGTTTTCCCTGCAGGCTTTTAAATGCTAGGAAAAGGGGAGGCGTGAAGGAAGAGAAATATCAGCATGAGAAAGGGGTAGTAACTTTACCTGAAAGTTGACATCAGACTCAGATAGTGACACAGAGTTGGGAAAAAGCCATTCCCTGAGTTATTCCTGAAGATAACATCAGAATGAAAAGGGTTTTCAATACAGAATGAAATGGGCAGTGAGTGGAAAGTGGGTGGAGGAATCCAACACTTCAGAACAATTAAAGGGTAGGATACTACCCGGCATAATAAATAAAGATCCTGAGGTGAAAGCCGGAGTGAGAGTGTACCTCAAAGTGGGTCTCTAAAACTTCTAAGGCCACTGTGCCCATCCTAGATAAATAAGAGATGTGTGGCTCCATCAAGTTCAAATTAAATGAATTCATTTTGGAATCACATGGTTGAACTGAGTCCATCTGGAAGAAAGACTTTGTTTGCATGTACAAAAAGCCATCAAAATATCAGATCAATCTGAAGGTAACCAATTCAATCTGATTATAGAAATCTTTGTCCAGCCCTAATATTATATATTTCTCTGTGAACTTTAGAGCTTCTGAAGAGACTCATGCATTTTGGAGAAACAGAACATCTGGATTCAAATGTTAGGGTCACTTCTTTCAATGAAGAGAGGACCACCCTCTCTTGTAAAAATGTATTCACCTTATGGACCCAATCATTTGCCACTTCCCAGGGCTTAATAGTTGAAAGGCTTGCTCCATCCTTGGAGAATTTCAAGAAGAGTTGGGACAGCCATTTGTCTGCAATGATATAGGATCTCCCATTTCAGAAGGGGGTTGGACCACTAGAAGATCTCCAAGGTCCCTGCTAACCTTATTTTCTATGTTCTAACCAGGAGAGACAAAAATCTAAAATACAAATGGCTCACAGCTCCAAAGACCTTATCGCACATGGAATAAGGTAAGACTATTTGTGAGACTGGATTTTTCCCATCATCTCTGCTGACCCCACCAGTCCTGATAGAGAGGACATACTCTGTAACCCTTCTGTGAAACAATGTCTTCTTGTTGAACCCTGGAATTGTATCTTCTCAGTGCTAGCACCTATACCATAGAACAGCATGTCTCTGGAAATGTAGCTGACACTTGTTTTTCACAAGGCACTGAAGATCTGCTTCCTCCCAAAAAATTTAGACCAGGGGTTTACATACATTCTGCTGCTATTGAGGTGTTTCTCATGAATGCAGTTGTTGTTTTACCCTTGGGTGCTAGAGGTTGCATGCTACAGCTTTTGCATTTTAATCATTATGCACCACTAAGATTCATCATTGTGAGATTCACCATAGATGGTCATATAAATCATATAGACAAATAAAGAAAAATGCAAAGCAATAGTAATAGTAATAATAACAATAATGACAATTATTCTAAATGTATTTAGAAATATGCAACCAGATACCTAATAAAAACAGATGGCCCAACAGCTGATCCTGCATCAGGTTCTCAAATATAATATTGGCCTTTTATCTATTAAATCATTAACTATTTTGAAAGTATATGAATATTTATTACACTAATAACTCATTGCAGCAGCTCAAAATGTTTAGCAATTTCACAGAAATAATAAAGTATCCATAGTCCAGTAAGATCCAAAAAACCTCCCCATAAAATACAAAGCAGAAAATCTAAAAACAACCAGAACAAAAAACAAAAAACAGTGTAGAAAAACTGACATGAGGTCTGAAGAATTCTATCTTTAACTCCTTCTAAAAGATACCGTAGTTAAAGTGAGGATTAATTTAATGTCTAATGGGAGGCCATCACAAAGGCCAACACCGGTTTAGAAAAGTTGTCCTGAAGAAAGATCTCTGGAGCTGCCCAAACATCCCAATAAACAAATAGCTCATTTTGCTAAGATAAGTTTTAATTGGTTTTCTCCTGTTGAGACCTTTACAAACAACAGGACTTCAACAACTTATCTAGTACAACCCAGGTAGAGAGGTAAAGCTGAGTGTCTTATCATACCACACTCCAACCCATCAATGATCTTACATAGTTTCATGTAGATATGTACAGTAGTGGTTTCCTCAAATGTACAATAGTGGTTTCTTCATATTGCATAAGATCTGCAGCTTGTGATCAGTCTGGCATATTTGCTGGTCAAATAGTCTGTTATGAGCTTCTTGGCCCATCGCTACCCTTGCTGGCCTCCTACAAACTCCTTAATGTTTCTTGGGAAAGACTCTTGGTTTTTGGCTTCAGTGTATTCAAGTCTGAAAGGCTTCCAGGTGAGGCTGTTATTGAGAAATTGTCTTGCCTCATTTGTGGAATTTTTTTTTTGAGACATCTACAGGAAATATCCATCATTTGTAATTATTTAGTGCTTCCCCACTGCTTCTTCTATTTGAGAAAGACAAAATAGCCATGCCTTTTGGCTGATAATGCTAGCAGCCCTTAGTCCGGAAACACTCAGCAGCTTTTGCTAGGGCCAGCTATATGGTTCTGTAATTGTAGAAGTACTCAAACTTGCCATGAAGTACCCCAATTTCCTAGTGACTTGCATAATACTACACAACATTTGCTCGCACTCTTTGCTGTGTTGGAAAGGCAGGGATGAAAAGAACACAGTCTGCACTCATTTCAGTATTAATATCTGTTCCAAGGATAGAAAAGTATTTTGCACACACCCAGTCTATAAATCAGATTATATAATGCTAATAAATTATCTCCTATGAGCCAATGCATCTGTCTCAGCCCATTCCCTTTGTCCAACTGTGCTTGCATCTTCTTCTGCTTCTCTTGTCTGCCCACTCTTTGGATGCTGCATTTGTTACCGTGTGATTCAGCTGGTCTGTGTCCTGCTTGTGGGCTCGTCCTAAATTCCAACCTCTTGTCTAATGATAAGCAGACAAAAATGTTGGCATTCAGTTTCTTGGCACTCCACTGAAGGAGTGTGGGGAAATATTTCACCTCCCAGTTGCAGTACAAATGTGGACCAGTTATTAGGTCACTGACACAAAGCCTGAACAAGCCCCACTTCCTCTGAAGTGTTGTGCTGAAGTGTTAACACAGCTGGTTGTATTCCATACAGGTGAGTGCTGTAGAAGAGAGACTACAGGGGGAATTTGGCAGTAGCATCAGTCAGAGGAACCTTCTGAGCTAAACTTGTGTTCTTTCCAACCTCTTCCTTTTGTTAAGTATTTTGTTTGGTTTGGTTTTTAAATTAGCAAGGAAAGCACAGAGCCTGATTTGTGATTAGCCCTAATGGTTCAGAGAGAAAAAAAGAAGAAGCTTGATTCCTGGGATACTCAGAGGGAGTGTTGAGCAACCTGATGAAGGCCATACACATATTATTAAATCACAGAAGATCTTATTCTCTAGTTTGCAATTTTGCATTTTAATTGTAAATGAAACTTCGATCTAGATTGTTCCCAAGTCACTGCAAAGCCATGTTTCCTGTGGTGTTTAATAGCATGAAGGCAGGATTGAGGAGACCAAGAAAAATATACCTTCTGGACTAGACAGTTAAGCATCACGCTTGACCCACAGCTATTTATTTTCTAACTTTTGTTGATGATCAAGGGTTTTTTTTCCCACATTTTTTTCCCTGCATGGTATCACTTTCCCCCTTTTATCCTTTCAATGCTTGCCTTATGAACTTAAGGAACATGTCATCAGGGAAGACTGTGGCTGTCCTAATTTCCTATTTTTCTTTAGAGTAAGAGAAACACTCAAATACTGTTTCTGCTCATCCCCCCCACCTCCTGATCCCTGTTGCTTTCATTGGTTAGACAAGGTGATTTTTGATTGATCGAGCTACCTGTCATTTTGTCTTTGGCATCTATTATTGATTATGAGTCGGTAGCAAAGAATTAGAGGTTGATTCCAGTTTGCTTCCATCTGGGGGTTTATCTGGAGTTTTGTGGTCCAGATCTGGCAGTCCTATTGATTCCTGTTAAATAGGTACACAGCTACTCTCTTGCCTACTAGAGCAGTTCCTTTCTTTCCAGGCTCTGCTCTTATTTACGTTATTCAGTCACATCTCTTGCATTGTTGCTGCCTCTTACTTACAAACAGAGTGCAAAATCCCTCATTAGGCCCAGTGTTAATGATCCCTGAGGTGTACGCCAGTCTTTTAAAATGACTTTTTTTTAATGACCTGAAAAATAATTGTAACACAAGCCTTTGTTCAATTAGGTGTTTCATCCTTCATTCCCCTGAAAGCCAGTTTGGTCTAGTGGTTGAGGCCCCAGGCTAGAAAGTAAGAGACTATGAATTCAAGTCCCACCTTAGCCATGAAAGCTAGCTGGATGACTTTGGCCCAGTTACTCTCTCTCAGCCCAAACATCTCAGGGTTGTTGTTCTGAGGAAAATAGAAGGAGGAAGGTGTTTGCCACCTTGAGTTATTTGTACAAATAATGAAAGTTGGATATAAATAAATAAAAATATTGTCATGTATGTTAATTTTTGATTTTTTTAAAAAAAATATTAATAGACGTGTAAGAGCATTATCAACACTTTCAATGGAAGTCAGATGACAGCAGAGTCTTGAAGCAGAGGAAATAGGGTTAGGATAAACAAGAACAGCAACAAAGATCACCAATTTCATGTTATAATAATTATCTGTCATCTCAAGGGTAGGCTGACAATTGAGCAGTTGAGAAACGTAGTGTGTTAGGTGGGACCTGAAAAATAACAGCCAAAGAGGTACATCAGGAGATCAGAATAAAAATCAAATCTAGCACTAGGAAGATTGAGTTACTTAGGTGAAGCTTGATTGGAATAAAAAAATGCTCTAAGGGATCTAATACAGTGGTATCAAACTGCTGGCCCATGGGCCAGATGCGTCACATGGAAGCTGTGCCCACCCCAGCTCTGGCAAGGGGAAAAAAGTAGCGATATGTCATGACACGTCACATGATGCGACGAGTTTGACACCCCTGATCTAATAGATCAGATGAGTCAGCCCAGGGCTAAACTTTATTAGACATGGGAAAGTTGTGCTCTTCTAAACTCTGTTGAACTCTAGCTTCCATCAACCTTAGCTATTGGTCAAGGAGTGAACACTAACAATTTCTGGAGGTTCATAGGCTCTTTTTTTGACCTAGACAGATCCTGCAACTTGGCATTTCATCTTGTGGGTCAGTTATACAGAAATCCTGTAACTGGATCAAATTCAAACAATTGATATTTGTCTTAATCCAAACTCCTGCCTTTCATTCTTAGCTTGTCCCAGTTTAGACTGTCTGACACAAGTATATATGCATGCTTGTGTTTATTACTTTTTCAAGTTCTAGCAAACAACTGAAGGACCAAAGTTTTTTTATTTCTCTTAGAAGGGTTCTTTCTCTCCAAGAGATTATAGGGATGCTTCTCCTAGTTAAATACAGTCTGCTTTACTTGATTCCAAAGAAAAACAGGTGAAATGATTTTGTGACCCAACATAGATTTTGATCCTTAAAGTAGGACATGAATGGATATGCTATGGTGCCAGTCAATAAGTATGATATTGGAAAGTGCTGTAAAGAGTTTTCAAATTCAAGTTGAGGTAGTGGATTAGGAGTGTACAAATAAGAGTCTTCAAGATTGCTTTTTAAAGAAATATTGTTAGTTCTGCACAGAAGTCCAGGAAAAAGAGAACCACTGCAAAAGTGTAATGCTTTTGACTGTATGGAAATACTAGATTTAGATATTGTAGGACAACTTTAAAAGCTATGGGAAACTGTTCTGAAGAGATAAATGTCCACTGGGACAAAAATTTGGGGTACTATCATGTTTGTATTTATAACATTTCAGTTACTGAGTGCTGCCTTGAAGCTTACAAAAGGCATAATATAAATATTTTACATACCTAGAAATAAAATCATGGTGTTTAAAATTTGAAACAAAATAATGGAGAGATGCTTTGAAAGTGACTCCTGGGAAAAAGTGGCCAACTGTGGGTTATTTTCTATACAGCTA